AAAATTCATTAAGACAGTTGAAGATGCAGTTAAGGAATTTTCCCTGAAGGAAAACCAAAGCTGAAGAGATATAAAATAGAAAAGAGTCTTAGATCAAGAGTGGCGCTTTAATATGAGCTCAGAAGTTAAAGGAAGAGAGAAAACAAAATATAACAGAGGAAGGATATTATCAAAGAACTCATTACAGAAATGAAGAAATTAAATGGCAGAATGACAAAGAAAGAATAGACTCTGGCCCAGCACACAACTGGGGAGGTCCAGGGCGCCGTGATTATCTCTCAAGGCCAACACTGGAAGATAGAAGATTGGAGAGCAAAGCTGTCAAAATTGTGAGGGGAAGTTATGTTCAACTTTGAGTTTTGCAAGTCTTCAAACCATCCATCATATGTGTATGTAGGAAAAGATGTTTGAAATGTGCAACCTCCCTAGTGCTCACCCCTGCACCTTTCTCAGGAAGTAAGCGGGCAACAGGTCCCATCAGAAATGGAGGAATATCAAGAAAGAAGAAGTCAGTTATTTGATTCCAGAAATAGCTAGTCAAAACACAGAACTAAGTAAAAGGAAATCACAAGGACAATTTTCAAAGGAATCCCCAGGACAGCCCTTGTGCCATGGTTCTGCAGAGCTACCAACTCCAACTGCAGCATGAGGATGGGGGATTCCAGATGGTATACCATCAAAGGGGAAAAAGGATGATCGAAAAGATCAACTTATTGACAGATTGGACTCTGTGGACAATAGCACTGTGTGACTTTTCTCACAAATATATTGGAGGGGATTGAAGAAATACAAGCAAATAAAACCATCAGGTCATCACTACAGAAAAATAATTATACATCTCTTGGTTCAGGAGTAATTCATCACAATAATTAAAACACTCCACCATAACTTACTAAATACTGAAGAAAGAGAAGTCGGAATATAAGAGAAATACACTTTCATGGTCACAAGGGAAAGTCACCAGTTACTATCCAAAGTCCATGATTTGAACAACAGTCCCATTATTCAGAAATGTGATTGCTAATGCCAGAAAATATGGGGGAAAAATTTAAAGGAGTTACCTTGGGGTAGTACAAACTGGGGAAAACTTATGTATGTCAAGGGCACAAGATTTGAGGACAACTTTGTTAATAAATCACTTTACTGCCATTTGCCTTTTTATTTTGATAAATGTTAAAATTATTTTTTAAAAAATATGAGAAAAAAGAAGTCTTAGAATACTAAAACCAGTGTATTTTTCTGCTATTGTTTAATCACCTAATACATTATATTTAAATACTACCCTTCTGAGTCTGCTTTTCACTTGTGTGATTTTTAGCCATCTGCTTATAAAATGAGTTAGTGTTTTCTATAGCTGAGCAAAGACTACATTCTTAAGTTTTGGATAGAATTGAGGTTTTTCTCCTAAAAGAAAATGAAAAAAGTTGTATAATAAATTTCAGCACTAATTAACAATCAACACACCAAAACTTTACACCACTTGAAAAGTCTTAATAGCCATGAAGCTAATTTAAATGATTGGATCTATATTATAATTGCAAGTATTGCCCATTCCATTTGCTATAAGAAGATGAGTTTTATCTTCCTGTGAAAAGCATAAGCACATCATGAAGTGACTCATAAGACCAGTAGTTAAGGGTGTTGGATTGTCATTTTATCTATTTTCTGGAGAAGCATAATTTTAAAAAATTATCACTACATATGTGATGAGGGTTAATGGGGTTTCCAGCCTATAATAGGATTAGATCAAGATTTGAGGAGCAAATATTTCATTTAAACAGTTTAAATTGTCACATTAATAACATAATTACAAACTAGTAATAAGAGTAGATGATCTTATTTTCTGACTTCTTATTTGCCATGTTCTCTTTTGAGCAAATCAATATTTCATAGCTTCCTGTAATCCTCAGTCATTTTCATCTTTCGCTTCGCCTAAGATTTCTATAAAACTGCCTCTTTCCTCTCAGTTTTATTCTTGTTCTTGTCACTTCAGAGAGAAAAGACTAAGCTGAGGGAGATCTACAACTAATACACAAGACCTGTGGAAAGCAACTTGCCAATGTTCTTTGATTTCAAAGTGTGTCTGAATCTTCAATTTAAGAAAGAATAATGTAAAACATAATTGGTTCAAAATGTAGCATACAGTTTTATATTAAATAAAACACATCTATACCACAAAAATTTTAAAAATGGGTATTTTCATTCTTAAAATTTGAAGGAGTATTTATTCTTTAGCCCGTAGTCAGTACACATCCTGCCAGTCTCATTCAGCATGTCTCCAAAAATCTTGCACAATAAGAACAAACATTTAAAAGAAGCCCCCAAAATTTAAAGATCCAGAATAATTAAAATGAAATTTTAACTTTAATATCATTAAAGAATGGAAATTAAAGAATTTTTATTTCAACCAGAAGCCTTCATCTGGGATCTCGATTAGCATAAAATCATATTTCCTCTCCATGAACAATTCTTTGACAAACCCGGTTTTTCTGATGTTTTTGTTTACTAAATTGCATCTTCATACAACAATTTGATCAAGCTAGCAGGCTGGGAAAAGGGGCTGGCTTGGTTTTCCGTCCAATAGACTTTGAATCCTGCTGATTGGGTGTCTTAAATGCTCATAAGCCCAACTGCGCTTCTCTGTCTTTTGCATTGGTGTCTCCATTGTACACACTGCCAATATCCTGCCAGACCCAGCTAACATTACATGCTTCTCTCTCTATCTCTTCTGGCTTAATAACCACTCTTAAGTAGCACACTTTCAATCCCTTAGAAGAGATTTCAAGACCTTCTGTGACTGATGGTCTTCTCCTTTGCACGTTTTCATTTTACCTCAATCTGCCCTTTCATTTCTCCAGTGTTTTGCTTACCTGTTGCCCCTCAGCTGCCCATCCTGTTCCCAACCTGTCCCGCATGCTTATGTCCACATCTTTGTCTTCCTCCAAGTTTTGGTCCCTAATCAAAATTCATCCAAAATTGTGACCATCTCTTCCATGTGCTTAGATGCTGGACTTACTTTCCTTTGCAATCATGTAATAGGTAGAAAATGATAATGGTTTTAGAAAACTAAAAGCTTTTAAAATGACAAAATGCTATTTAGTTTTGGGGGGGGGGTTGGTACCAGGGATCAAACTTGGGACCTTGTGCTTGCAAGGCAGGCGCTGGAACCACTGAGATAAATCCCTGGCCCTATTTAGTATTTATAAAAACTGGGGAAAAAAATCACCTCAATTGAATATTTTAGTATACTTAACAAAATACTAATATGCGGTCTAAAATTTGCTAGGTCCTCAATTTTTTGTAATATTAAAAATCATGAGTTGAATTCTTACTATATCTTTAAGTTCAAAATGAATTGATCTAATTTCTTTTTTTTTGCTTAAATTCTTTTATTGGTACATTTTAGGTATACAATATGTTTACATTTATCATTGGGTGCTTGTACCTGTACATGATGTAATTGATCTACTTTCTACTTAAATATTTTAGTGTGACTTAATTTAACACACAATTCTAAAACCTACCAAAAATTCACATCAATTTTTTATAACTGTTAAATGACCAACAATAGTAATGGAAACAGGAAAAAAACCAGATTTTGAGATATTTAAGGAGGTGCTTTGGGGCCAGATATTTTTGCATATTGTTTATTACATACTGCTTCATGTTCTCAACCAGTTTATATATAATGCTTTAATAATACCTTGTTTCACTCTCAAAAACAACTCTAAGAGGCAGGCAAAAGAGATATCATCATCCCCTCTGCATAGAGAAAAATAATTTAAATAGCTCACCAATCCCACTACTTATAAAATTATGGACCCAGAATTAGAATCTGTTACTTTTGGCCCAAGTTCTGAACTCTTTGCTCCCCTAGTTCCCCCACTTGTGTGCCTTAATCTTGAAAATTCAAAGCATTAACACCTTTGGAGTAACACTGCTCTCTCCATGTATTCCGAATTTAGAGTATGAATAATTCAATGAAGGTTGCACATTAAAACACACTCATATATGATAATTAATTTATCATGTTATTTTCCTTAAATCAAAGAGACTGCATGCTCAGTGAGATTTTCACCAGCAATGAGTGGGAGAGAAAAAAGAAAAAAGGTTGTCATAAATGAATTCAATAAAAGAACCCACTCTGTGGCAGCATAATTTATAAAAGCTAGATCTGGGAAGCAGCCTATATTTCTATCCACAGATGAATGGATGCAGAGAGTGTGATATTTACACACAATGAAATACTGCTCTGCCATGAAAAGAAACTTGACTCACTCGTAGGAAGTGGATACACCTTGAGACTATAATGTTAAGTGAAATAAACCAGACACACAAGCTTAAATATTGCATGGTTTCTCTCATATGAGAAACCTAAATTTTAAAGAAAGAGCAAAATGAAAATAGATAATAGAAAGTAGGGTGATAGATCCATCTCAAATGAAAAGAGGACTGAGAGAGAGAGAGAGGAGAGGGAAAGCGGAAGAAAACAGGAGCTAAGATGTGTTATGTACATATACCAACTCCACACGCGGAATGGAAACATTATGGACTCCAAACATGTACTAATAAAAATAAAAATAAATGCAAAAGGACTTATTAGGAAAACTACATCCTGAATCATTTTCTTACTACATGCCTTCAAGAAAACCTCTTTCTAACCCAATATTCCTTTGTCTAAAAACAAGCTCTCTTCTAACCATGCTTAACAAGTAGTAGTAAAAAGTGATTAGTATTTTAATCTTTCTGGACCTTGTAGTCATAGTTCCTTATATTTTGATAACACCATACAGTTTCTACTAGTCATATATACATATTACTATTCAATTTGATTCTTGAAAAAGGCATGTGGTTTGCTTATGTATAGATGAAGAATTTAAGTCTGGAAAACTTAATGAATGTAACAGGGACAGAGTCACGTTTTTCAGGCTCTAAAACCTTTCCTCTTTCCCAGCCCCATGATGTTCATGCTCCCAGAACATCTTTCTTAGTGTACTTACATTTCATCACACCTTGTATTTCATAAACAGGCTTGAGAATCAGTGCACCGTGAAAGTCTTCAGGGAATGGATTTGATGAATCCCACTTATTCGCAAAATCTGTAAGTTTCACAGTTCGGGTTCTGTTCTTGGATACCTTCCATTCAACAATCTCTTTTAGCGTATAAATATGTTCATCTTCACACTCATAGAATTCTCCTTCTTGGGTCACAGGCAAAGTAAACGAATGATTTTGATGATTCCTTACTACGGCACAGTTCACCGTTATTTCTCCATCAATGTCTTCAACTGAGTTGAGTGTGATGTGTTCACCCTGTTTTATAGTGAGATTCTCCAGTTTTATGTCCTTCTGATGATAGAAGCAAGGATGCCCTAGTCTACTGGGTGCAATCTGGATTGTTCTTGCAATTTCCCCCATAGTAAGGTAGGGAGTTTTATCAGCCACAATCCTAAAGAGACCTACAAACAGAATTGTATAAATCAAAGAGCGATCTCAAAAAGAATATTCTCATAAGAAAATCACAATGATAAAATCATAAAATAAGTACAATGGAGCTTTCAAAAGGAATAAAAGATTAATTTTTACAGGATTAGAGAGAATTGTTTTAACACTGACTTCTTGTCAAAATGCCAACATACTGTTTGTGGATTACAATAGCATTAACCAGGCAACATAAATTTTTTAAAGAGGAAAATATCTTGAAATAGCACATGCCTGTTCTTGGAAAGGAGGGATTTAAATGAGATACGAGCTCTGTCTCAACTAGCGATGGAATCTCACGGAAAGCAGTTCATCTCTAAAGATTATATATTTTTAAAGAGAGAAGATTGGATTAGATTAGTTTTCCATGAATATATCTTTAGATACAATCAGTAGGTGCTCCAGAAAGAAACTGATTCATAGTCAAATTAATGATTGAGAAGTTATATAGACAATGGCGACAATTGTACAAATTGTAAATGTTGTAAATATTAATTACTTGTACACTTGGACACGATAAATTTTGTTATGTGTATTTTACCATGGTGGAAAATATCTGCAGTTTTAATGAATGTAAAGTTTCTCAGAAAGTTTGTATACATTGTGACTGTCAAAGGGAAATATGACATGCAGAATTTCATAATTTTTATTATAAAACTCATGAAAACATACTTTAGTAAATCATAACATAATATACCTCAACTCTCCTTGGAAAAGTATTAGGTTGCATAATTGTTTTGGATCACATACTCTTGGTAATGTATCATTATTTCTTTTTAATTACTTCTCTACTTTTTCCATTAAATTTTCACTATTGTGTGAATTTTTTTACTAATTTCTCTATTTGAAATTTTTTTCTAATACTACCAGCATAACCATTAATACAATTAAGTAGCTCTCATGTTTGAATTATTTTGCTTTTATTTTGGGGCACATCTGTTTTGTGTCACTTTCAGAAATTTATTTACAGAATAGATTTTAATAAATTCTAGAGGAAATAAGAAAAAAGGAAAATTTAATTAGTAGATTTCTCAAAGAAAAGTTAAATTTATGATAATATTATGTACTAATGCTCTCTAAACATTAAAAGCCTTCCTGAAAAAGAAAAGGTAAATTTATGATAATATTATGTACTAATGTTCTCTAAGCATTAAAAGGCTTTCTGGAATGACATATCTTGGAAGGATCACTTATTAGTTTACTCAACAAATATATTTCAATTAAATTAATCTATATAGCAAATTCTTTATGAACAAGCTTTTAATATATTTCTGTGTATCTAGAATTAGGATTCAAATTTTTTTCTGATTAATTATTTCTAGATCACTTTTGCTCTAAAAATAAATTTTGGTTATTTTTTGATATTAACTTCCTGAAAAAGTGTGAGTGATTCTACGTTAATAAGAATGAGTAAGGTAGCATGTGCAGTCTGTCCTGAGAACATTTGGAAATTGAAAACCATACTTCCACTACATGGCATGCTTGAAGATAGTAAGGAAAAGAAACTTATACTTTGGGAGAATTTCTTAGTTTATTATGTCTTGTGTCAGGGGCCTTCTCAAATTCACTACAATCAATGAATGCATGTGTGTCTGCACATGTGAGTCTGATCTTATTTGTCAGTTGTGAAGACTTATTTCTCAAAATCCATAAGCAGGGTATAGAAAATTCAGCAGCTTTTGTAACATATCTTTCAAAAGTAGTTACCCAGAATTTCATGAAAAGTAGCAGTACATATTTTTACTTCCATCCTAGCTGTATTGATGATGTTAGTCACGGAAGAATTAATTCAGCATCATCCTTCTTGGGGAGTTGAGTTCACCCAAAGCAATAACAGACCTAGAACTTTATGAAGTTGAAACAACCTGAAACCCAAAGGGCTGCTACTATTTCAAGCTAATCCCTCTCTTCGGTGCTGTATTGCTGGATGTCTCTATGGCGAGAAAAGTATATCTGTGAACCTGTGTGTTTTCTGTTAGAAGATGATGCAGTACACACGTTAGCATACTAAGTGGCAGAATACAGGAGAAATATTTTATTAACACATCTTCACATACTACTGCATATGATCAGAGCATGCCAACTTAAAAACAGCCATTCAATACCACTCAAAGGAGGGCAAATATGATGTTATATTGGGAATCCACTTTCACAATGAAAGAAATTAATATAAACTAAAAACTCAACAGAACTGATCAGTTAAATTTGTCCAATCCTTCCTCCAACTTCCTCACAGGGAGTGTAATGGCTTAATATTAAGGAAAACATGCTCCACTCCTCTAAGGAAAAACAAAACTTATTTCACGTGTTGAATAATCACAAACGTTAAAGTTAAAAGATGAAAATCGTGGCTCTAAAATTGCAAATCAGAGCTTTGACCTCTCGATCACGCGTCTCTCCACCACACTTGCTCACAAGCCAACATGTTCACCGCGGTTCTCTAAACTGGGCCTCTTCAGGGTCAGCCGCCCTCAAGTCCCCCAGGGAGAAAAGAGCAACAACCACTTCCTGCTTCGCTGGGCAGAATTCAACTCCGCAGATATTTTGTGCTACTTTTCTTTCTCCCGCATCAATTTCCACCCAGATAGTGAATAACTGTAAAAATTAAACTCCTAACCATATAACGCATCCACAGCATAAGATCCTCATGAAGATCACACAATCCTTTCCCCCTGCTCTAACCTCTAGCCTGCATTCCCAATTCCAAGCAAATCTATTTTCTCCACCTCTACAATAAGGAATCTTGGAGTGAACTTTCCTTATTAATTCTTGTCATCCTCTCACATCAACTAAAATTAAAAATGATTCAAATAATAGCTTCTTGATACACACTGGCCATTTACATGCACTATGCAATTTTATTTTTTAAATAGTAACATGAGGTCACTCATTAATAGAACATGTACATTTTGTGGATAAGGACATGAACCTTTGAGGAGGTGACATAAGTCGAAGCTAACAGATGATCTCAAGCCAGGTGTCTTCCCCACTTCTGGGTGCAGGGGGTGCACGACTTTTAAAGCCTAACGTGTGGAGGTGATTTCACAGAGAGGGGGACAAGGGTTGGCACTGGTTTCATCCATACTTACGTCAGGTAAGATGGTTTCCAGAATACATTACTGAAAGTCTTAATAAAGTGACCATCATAGAATGGATGATGACTACATATTTTCTACAAATAACCCATGCCTTGAGAATAAAACCAATTTAAACACAAGTAAACAAAAACAAAAAATGAGAATTGACACTTGCACCAAAGTGAAATTTTCTTTCAGCCACAGGTAAGACAGTAATACTGTAGCCGAATGAAATACAAAAATTGGCCAAAACTTTAACCCTTCAAGTTGTCAAAATATGGATGTATATTCACCATCATAAAGAAATTTACCCTTCCTTTGGAGATGTACTTGTCTCAAACAAACACATACACTTTTGAGATGCATTTTAAAAACATTTAAAGAACTGAAGCGAGTGAAGAAGGCCTGGAAACAAATCCTACAGCTATGTGTTTCTGATCGGACGCCTTTTCTCTTCAACAGTGAAGCAAAGTATGTCCAGGGTACTGTTGTGACCCTCTCCCTCTGTCTTTTAAAAAGAATTTCTATTATCAAATTCCTAAATAGCCTTTGTATTATATTTTGTCTATTAGATACCTCATCTCATATATTTCTTATAGCAGGTTTTTTGTATTCCCAAGGGAGTTCTCATGTCAGCAGATCCTATAAAAAAATGTCTTTTCCAAGACTACTCCAAATCTAGTGTTTCTTGCAGAAATGTCAGACTGAGATGGTGTGCACGAAACACTCTGTCAATCAAAACACTTTAAATCCTGGGTAATGTTCTAGACTATAAAATAATAATAATAGTCCCTTCCGAACTCTGAGAAAATTTTCCAGAATTCTGAGTTAATTATGGGACTACTGAACATCATTGAAAAATGAGTGCATTCAACATTTTTCATAGAAGATTCTCCAAAAGCAAAAACAAGCGATTAAAATATAAGTTTATCGTGAGAAAATGGTGAACAGAAATTTAGTTGAATTTTTAAGAAGAAAGAGGATATATCAAAGATGACCAAGTTTTTAAATGTTAGGTGAGATTAAGCCTGGCAGTAGAATTCCTGTAAAATAGCTTTACATTAATAATTGAATCAGACCAGTCTGTAATAGCTATTTTACCTGGGGGTAAAAGAATATATTCTAAAACTTTTCAATTCTTTTTTACCTTCTAGTTTAAACATTGCAAGAGAAAAACAAAAACAGCATCTCTCTTGCAATGACATTTAAACTCTTTGAAAGGACTGACTGCAATTTCTAACACATTTGAGATGTTTAACAAAAAGTTTACATTAATAATGTCAGCTCTTGATATCAAATAGTGTAACCTGATATCCATGCCTAAAGCTTTGTTGTAAGTATGGCTTATTAATAAATGCGCCATACACACTTATCCATATTAAAATCCTCTTTCTCCCAAGCACTGCAAACGAGTAACAGACCTCAAATAGGTAAAGAGCGTGTGTTTCGTTCCTCCCATAACCTTGGTGAGGACATGGGTCCTGGACTCATCCAGTCTTCGGATCTCTGCTGCCTGTGTTAGGGGAGACACAGGGAGGCCTCAGATTTGGACAGAAACACCACAGACCTTGAATGTGGCCCCAGGTCTCTTAAACCTTGTTAGGAGGATCTTCAAAATGCTACAGATTACTGCTCCTGGCCCTAGGTGACTTCCAGAAGGGAGTTTTTGGAGTAAAGAGAGAGGCAAGTGGAGCAATTAAGACTACACATTGCCCATTCTGATGGCCTAGGATTCAGTTCTAGGCTCAGCCCTTTTGTCCCTGTGTAAATTGAGAATTTACAATTTCCTCTTCCATGAAATATGGAAAATTATATCTACAACCTCATAAAGTCATTATGATGATTAAGTAACTTGATACATGTAATATGCTTACACAGTGCTTAACATATGGCAAAGAAAA